AAAATTGATGATTTTCAAGGCAAATTCTTGTAACAAGAATTTAGACATTTTGCAATATTTGATGCAACATTCTGAAAAACAAATATTTATATTAAACGGCAGCATTATAGTTAGCTATAGTTATCATTAGCCCTTTAGTTGACTTCGGGCTTCACAGAGGGGAGGAGCATCAATGTGCCAAAACGTGGAGAGAGGAAACAGAAGAGTGATTCACAGAGGTAAAAGAAACAGACAAACAGACACAAAGGTTGAGAAAAAGGTAAGATGAGTACTGTGAAAGTAGGCGAATATGACATACAGTGGGGTGATGGTAGTGTGAAGTCAAAAGTCAACTATCGGTTCATTGACTTTCTGTCTGAGTATTACGTTGCCCAGTGTGCACAACGTCTATCGCACAACCCGATTTCACAGAATATACTCAGCAAGGTTAAAAAGCCATAATCCTCCATTTAGAGGGGTTGGAATTAGTGCTCATGATGTCCAGAGCTTGTTATCTATTCGGATGGCTGGATAGTTGGTCATGCCAACTTGATTCAAATGAAATTTATGGTACTTGAAAAGCAGATGATTTATCAATTAACTTGCTCGTCTGTAAATTCTGAAGTTGTGGCTTCTTCTCCTCCCCCAACACCCCCATCCGCTGAGTATAATGGTCGACCACACCGGTTGAGTTCGTCTAATGAAAGGCCGTGAAACGTCGTGACGTTACTTTTTCTACCAAAAATCATTTCGAGAAGGCTCTTTCTTTCATGAATATTGGAATTGTATTCAGTGTGAACATCTGGGTAGCAAATAAAGCGACATTGCAATTGAGTTCAGTCTCAATACAATCGTGAAAAGAAGAGATTGCGGGAATGGGTTATTTATTTTTTGAGCTTATAGGAGGCGTACTTTCGTATAATTATTCAAGAGTGCCGGCCGTTCAGCGAACTGATGTGGTGATATTTCCTTCAATTGGAACTTCAAAATTAAACGTCACAAATCAAAGCTTAAATAAATAAATAAACGAAAGATATTATAAGGCTTTGTAGAGCACGGTCTTGCCAACCTGCTGGAATTTTTAACCCATGCACCCTGATTCCGCTTTTAGAAGTAACTGTCAAATAAAATCCTCACTATTAGTGTAGGTCTGTCACCTTGTTTTCAAGTGTAGATACAGTGAAGATTCCTTATGGAAATCAACCTTGCCATAAGAAAAAGCAGTAAGCACCACCTATCTGCGTTTAGCCACCTAAGGAAGTGATTTTATATGTGATACAAGATCGTTCACTTAAAAACAGTCTTTTGTTAAAAGTTTCAAAAGTCACACCCATGAATTCATTCGAGAACCCTAGGCCTAAAATCAGGAAATTGGAAAGTTGGGACCATACTTCTTATGCAGTTTGGAAAAATATTATACCCAAAACCTTTTGTCAACCGATTCCCTACTTAACTTACTAGTACAGGATTTTAAATACTTTTTTGACAGCTCATAACTCGGCATGCGCTATAGACTTACCTCCACGTGGTGCACACTAGGCAACGTATACTCATCCGACACAAAAAGGTCTATAAAATGCCAGTTGACTTCTGACTTCAAACTACCATCACCCCACTGTACGGTAGTTGACTTCTGACTTCAAAGACAAAAAAGTCTATTGATCGGCAGTTGACTTCTGACTTGCAAAAAGTCTATTGATCGGCAGTTGACTTCTGACTTCAAACTACCATCACCCCACTCTATATCATATTCGACTATTTTTACAGTACTCACCTCACCTTTGTCCATATTCGACCATTTCACAGTACTCACCTCACCTTTTTTCTTAAATTCGACCACTTCAACAGTACTCATCTTACCTTTTCTCTTCGACTTCTCACTTCAAACTACCATCACCCCACTGTATGTCAAATTCGACCCCTTCCACAGTACTCACCTCACCTTTGCTCTACTGTCGACTTCTTCCACAGTACTAACCTCACCTTTTTTCTACCTATTTCTCACTTCAAACTACCATCACCCCACTGTATGTCATATACCTCTGACTTCAAACTACCATCACCCCACTGTATGTCATATTTCACCACTTCCACAGTACTCACCTCGCCTTTTTTCTACCTTCAGTTGACTCTAGCTACCATCACCCCACTGTATGTCATATTTGTGTCTGTCTCTCTTACATCTGTGAATCACTCTTCTCTGCTCCCCTTCTCGACTTTTTGTGACTTTGATTCTCCTCCCCTCTGTGAAGCTCGAAATCAGCTAATGAGCTTCTGCTATCATAAATTTTTCTCCGATTTTCAATTCCTCATTCATCTAAAAAATAAATTGCATAAGGCCACTTCAACTCCTCTCGGTGTTTAGCACATCCCGGGTTTCACCAACTCAGCACTGACACTTGTTCTTTCCCTTCTAGTTACTCTCTTTTGCTTTTACTATTTTTCAGAATTCTACTAAGTGAATAGACAGCCAAGACTAAGCATATGGGATTCAGTGCAACAGATTTCATCATGGTATCACGAGAGGCTAAGAGTCAGAGAAAATTTAGTAATGCTCTGCTTCTATTACCCCGATTCATATTTCATGAACCTTGGCTTAACTTAGAACGTATTTAAGTGCGTCTAACAGCATATCTTCTATTAAGATATAAAGGGCCCTTTGGTTCCGATAGACTAGCATCATGCCACCTTGAGTCCCAGATACTGGATACGACCTAAGTAACAAATACAAGGAAAGCCTTTAGGTGTCTCAAATCCGTTTTAAACCCTCTTGAAATCAGACCACGTGAGATAGCAGCTGGTGGCTTAATTTCAGGCTGGCATAAAATAAAGTACAGGTCTCATTTTTGTCCAATATATCTGACTCACCCCCCCCCCCCCCCCACTATACACGCATTTGTCATATCACAAAGCTCTCGGAAGTAAGAATGGAAAAGAGGAGATAAGATTTGTATCACGTCTTTTATTTTCCTTACTTATTTTGGTGGTCAGCGAGTAAAATCGACAGCCGTGTGCAAGAGATTGCATGCAAACAAGTCGAGACCAACGCACGTGCTGATTCAACAGGGGGAAGAAGAGGGGTGGGGGAGGGGGGGGGGACGAAAAACGCTCCTAGTGTTTACCAGTGAGCTTAGGGGGAGGGGAAGTATGTTTACATCCGTGCGATATTGATTAGAGAAAAGGAAGGGGACTCAAGGTTGGAGAAAGGGTTGTCAATTGGTTTGTTCAGCTGGTCGATCACAGCGATCACTTGCAGGTGTGCACACGCAACTCTTGCCACTCAGACCACATACGCACACAGTTAAACACCATGGTCTTTTTTTCATCAGTCAGCGCAGTTTAAAATAACCTTGTTCCAGAAAGTAGAAGTGAGTATTAAAAAGGAGAAGGGGCGGTTTACTGACTCAGAAGGAAAATGATGAGAGGGAGGGGAGTGCTTGGTTTAGCTTTTAGAATAAATATTGGTACCAAAACAGGAGAGTAGGAAGTAGGTTCTCGACACACGGTCTTGTCCTGATAGCGCTGGGGATCACAAAAAAGAAAATGGGAGAGAATGATTATAGACTAGAATGCAAGTCATGATGCTGACGGGGGTGGAGATTAGAGTAGAGATACTGAAAACTGTGCTGACACAACTAATTTGATCAATTTGCAGCCAATTGTTCGACTTGTTGTGCGTGTTGTTCTTGTTGCTGCTGTCTTTGTTGGACTTCTAAAAGTAATTCAGGAGGGTACCCATGAAGGAAAGGACATGTTGGACCTTTGAAACACTCGCCAACCTCCCAGAATTTACACGTCACCTTGGTGAGATCATGGGCAAACTCACAATCTTCCTTTTTACAATGGCCACGTAGATAGAAACTGCATGCTCGACGCCATTTGGCAATCACGGGTTTGTCGGAAATTTCCGAAGAGGAAGTTGAAGAAGAGGAAGAGAATGACGAAGTTACCTCTGCCCTTTTTGAACGACTGATACCTCCAACTACGCGCTGTCCTGCCATTTTTGGAGCTCCCAGAACGCCGTTTGCAGATTTACCAAAGGACCCAACTGATCGTCCGTATTGATGGTGGGGCTTAAGGTAATGAAAAATAGATAAATTGATTGAATCTAAATTTGTAAATATGCGTATTAAGCCCACATTCACAACATTTTTAAGTCCAAACGGTTTCTGGATACTTCAAAACCATATCAAGTACTCGAGATTTTCAAAGGGTTTTGCCTAATCCACAAATCAAATGAAAAGACTCTAAAATACCTTGAAAACTACTAAAAAGGTGATATTGAGGGTAAAGGTTGCCAAGGCAATTACTGTGGAAACTCCCTCTTCGACGGTGGATAATGTACCA